TCGAACTTAAAATCTTAAAAAAGTGAATGTTGAAAATTATCTTTACATGTAATTGGAAAAAATAAAATGCTTTTAAATGTGTATGGGGGCAAATTTTTCACATCCCCTCAAAAAAAGAAAAGAAAACAAATGTATACATTGACAATGTCTAACCATACGTGTGCCATTCTGCACCCCAGGGTGTACTACCTATGCTGAAAGGAGCCAGTCAGCAAGCTTACTAAGGCTTCCTGTGTTCCAGGCATTGTTTCTATTGCTTAGAATTCCTGTCTGTCCTCCGGGAAAACCAAGGTTCAGCTCAAATACCACCTCTTCAAGATGCCTCTTTTCTGTTCCTCCAGTTGTTAGTACTATCCCTTCTCTGCCAAATCTCTGTGTATTTATTTTGTCTATAACCTGCATTTATTTACCTGTGAACATGTTGTTGTCCTTTAATAGAATGTAAGTTTTTGAGGGCAGAGACCATCTCACTTTTTTGTATTTGTATCCTCAATGCCTAGCCCATAGGAGTTTAATAACTGCTTGTGTGTTGATTGTTCATTAATCCTCTGGAGTGAAGATTGATATAGGCAACTTGTTGAAGACATTTACTAGTAAATAGGAAGGGAGAGAGATAGGTCAAAGGAAGGATTTCTGTTATGGTTGCGAAGGCCTGAGAATTTGTAAGAGCCATTAGAGAGAGAGAAATTGAGATACAAATAAAGTAAAGTTATAAATGAACAAACAGGAAAGGGCAGAAGAAGCTTTGAATATCCTACTTTTAGAAATTTGTGTCCCAGTGTAAATAGTTCCAAATATTCGTTTGGTTTGGTGGTTGCCTCACGTTCAATGTACAATAAGTTGTTTTTCACTAATAAACACATAAGAGAAAGCCAATGACTATTGCAGCAAGCCTCTGAAGGAGGTAAGAGAACATGGGATCAAGAATATAGGCAGACAAAGTGGATAGAGCACCGGCCCTGGAGTCAGAAGGACCTGAGTTCAAATCCAGTGTCAGGCACATAACACTCACTGGCTGTGTGACTCTGGGCAAGTCACTTAACCCCAGTTGCCTCGCCAAAAAAAAAAGAAAAGAATATAGGTAGAAATGGGGCAGCTAGGTAGCACAGTGGATAGAGCACCAGCTCTAGAGTCAGGAGGACCTAAGTTCAAATGTGGCCTCAGACACCTGACACTTACTAGCTGTATGACCCTGGGCAAGTCACTTAGCCCTGATTGCCTTGCCACAAAAAGAAAAATAAAAAGAATATAGGTAGAATAGGTAGAATATAGGTAGAATATACTCCTTTGTGAGGAGTATGGATACCTCTTGGTATTTGTGTCCAGAGAGGGAAGGAGTTAATGATAATGATGATAAATTTTGAAGACTAGATGTACCTCAAAAGAACAGAGATCATTGAGGGATGGTGGTACTTGGATGGTTTAAAAGCAGCAATGGAGAGTAGTGGCTGTGCTCAGCCCTCCTTCTGACCAAAGACACAGGTAGGCATTATAGCTCCTGGGGCAAGTTGAGTTGGAGTATGGGAGATGCTCGTCCAAGGTATGAGAAGACCTCAGAATCCTATCTGGCTTGTTGCATGCCCATTACTGCTGACCTCAAGTATCCCAAGTGAAAGGCATGGACCTCCAGGCCCTGTGACAGCACAATATAGACATACCCAGATAGGAGTGATCTGTCATGCAGAGACTCTGGTGTACTGCTCCTCCATGGCACAGCAACGACTCCCGATCCTTGACTCCTCTAATCCCTAAGACACTGAGGAAAAGATGGTAGATTGAGGAGAGTATAGAAGTAGAGGAAGACAAGTTCCAGGAGGAGGTAGGTGACATTGACAGATTCCTGGGGAGAATGGTGTGGGGCCAGGTGCTAGGGCCAAGGGAATAGAGGCAGCCACTTAGTCATTTTATATCATTGCTTCAGGGAGCAAGGCATAGGAAATGGCCTGTGTAAATGCTTGGAGAGGTGAGAAGGCAGGTCGAGTTCAGTTGAATCATAAATTTTAGTGCAGATTACAACTCCTTTACACAGTGTGTTTTGTATGATTCGTGTGTGTGTGTGTGTGTGTGTGTGTGTGTGTGTGTGTGTGAGATTCAGTAAATCTGCCATAAAGAATCTAGCTAGTATATCCACTTGCAGTGGATATACAGTTCACCTGTTTTTCTGATTATATATGACCTGGTGTTCCATGATATATAGCCATATAAGATGACCAGGAGAATATTGGTCGTAAAGATAGACATTTGCTGCAGCAAGTAGCCTGCTGCATATGTGTGTGACACACATGTACAGGGCTAGGTGGTGCAGTGGATAGAGCACTATGCCTCAAGTCAGGAAAACTTGAGTTCAAATTCAGCTTCAGGACATTACTAGCCGTGTAATCCTGGTCAAGTCAATTAACTACTCTGCCTCAGTTTCTTCATCTGTAAAATGGTGAAATGATAGCATCTGCCTCCCAAGGTTGTAATGAGGATAAAATGAAATAATATTTGTAAAGTGTTGTGTAAACCTTAAGGTGTTATATAAATGCTAGCTATTATTATTATTATTTACACATGTATGTATATATAAAGTTACAGATTAGAATCCTGTGATTTTAACATATACTTAGGTGGCATCTTGTTTGAGGAGAGCCTTTACTCTTAATATTTTGTTCCACTTAATCAGATTTTTTTCCTCTCAAATCAACAAACAATAGATATAGTAAGATCTTATATTTGTAGACTTTTGAGTCAGTTGTATGATACTGAAGATGACCTCTGTGTAGAAGAGCATGCTCCAAAGCCTGCTTCCTCCTTTATCATGTTGTCATTTAGAATATTTTTTTTTTTTAGGGCAATTGGGGTTAAGTGACTTGCCCAGGGTCACACAGCTAGTAAGTGTCAAGTGTTTGGTGTGAGGCCACATTTGAACTCAGGTGCTCCTGACTTCAGGGCCGGTGCTCTATCCACTGCGCCACCTAGCTGCCCCTTAGAATATTTTTTTATGACTATGGATAGCTTTAATTTCTTCATCTGAAAACTTCCTGTTCATATCCTTTGACCATTGATAATTGGAGAATGACTTATATTCTTATAAATTTGAGTTAGTTCTCTACATATTTGAGAAATGAGGCCTTTATCAGATACATTTTCTGTAAAAATTATTTCCTGTCTTTCTGTTTTCCTTCTTACCTTGCTTGCATTGGTTTTGTTTGTGCAAAACCTTTTAAATTTAATATAATAGAAATTATCCATTTTATAACTTATAATGCTCTCTGTCTCTTAAATTCTTCCCTTCTCCATTGATCTAACAGGTTAACTATTCTTGCTCTCCTCCTAACTTTGCTTTATCATGTTTTCCTTAAAACACTCCTTGTTTTCATGCATAGACCATTCTTGTAAAGATTTATAGAACTGAAGGTGTAGATAGAGCTGGAAGACACTGTAGAAATCTTCCAGTCCAACAGCTTTGCTTTATAGATAAGAAAACGGAGTTTCTAAATCATTTTTTGACTTAAATTTTGGCTATCTTTTCTGTTCTCAAGAGTCCCTCTTTGGGGATATCTTGAATTGATCCATGACTTTTTAAAATCGTGAGGCCTCCAGCATGACTTTGTTCTCTGGATTTGATTAGGTTCAGTTGCTCAATAATACTTGACATGTGAACAGCATTTTACAGCTTTTAAAGCACTTTCACATACCTTACCTCATTGAGTCCTCAGAACAGCACAGTGAGGGATGCAAGGCTAGAACTATCCCCATTTTATTGAAGAGGAAACTGCACCTGAGAGAGATTGGTTAGTTGACCTGCCAGAGATCACAGGGCACAGTGACCATGCTGGTCTCTTTCTACTACGCTGTACTGAGTTCCTGTCTAGCAGTGCCTAAGGTTATCTTTTTAGAATGTGTCTGTTCTCCCAAACCAGACTGTAAGCTCTTTGGCAACATTTGGAAACATCTTATTACCTTTTTGTTGTTGTTGTTGTTTCCTATAGTGAATGTCATATAAAAGGTATTATGGAAATGGTGTTTCACTAATGTTACCTATTGTTAAATGTTAAATATCACCTGTCAGAGCCCAAACTGGACATTTCTGGGCCTTCTGGTGCTTGTGCCAGTTTTTCCCTTGTAGAACAAAGTATGTAACTGTTAGAAAGGATGAGTGGATCTATTCTGAGTTGGTAGCTATAGGATATGGAATGTCCTCCACCTTTTGTGTGAAAAACAGAGCCATATTCTACTGATAAGTCTTGAAAAGTAGATGGATTATGAAATTATATTGACTAAGCTTGGCTTCCAAAAAGGTACCTCCCTCTCACCACTCCCACCCTGCTTTTTTGTAAAGGTGGGGTACTGCCGATGTGCCATATGTATATATATGATGTCATACTTTTTAAGAATATTACTTAATTTTACTGAACTGTTTTATCCCTCTTTTTTATATAGAATATCTCTGGGGGTATGTTGGTGGGAAGGCATACTTTGGATAATATAGGTGATATAAAAATAAATGCTATCAATGAATCGTTATTTTGAAGGAGAAAAAAGAAAGAAAAATAGTTTGGGAAGAATCTGGTTTCTCATCCCCTGCCATGAATTTTGCCAGGGTGTGTAGAGGTAAGGAAGTAACTTTATTTTGCCTGAATCACTTGGTTTTAGTACCTAGGAGATCTTTTATATAGAACTAGTATGAAGTTACTTCTCAGCCATGGTGAAAGGAGGAATGTGACTTTGTTCTGTTACCAGAATTAATGGTAAGTCCATATAAGTTGGGCCTTGTATATAATTCAGTGTCTCTACTAGATGTGGCTTAAAATGAGGTTAGTCATTGTGATTTGCTCGAGACCTGGTGGAAACTCATCCTGTCCTCAATTGAGAAATGTATGACCTGAAGATTAGAAGCTGGGGTTTAGCTTTCCTTTTTTCACTCTCAGTTTGCAGGAAAGCCCCGGAGGCTGTTTGGGAGATCCCCAGCTCAGACCCAGGAGCTCTGATTCTTCTTATCTTTGACTCTTCTTTAGGTTCATTACATCCTGCAAGAGGTGGTTATGGGTGGTATGGTACTGGAAACGAACATGAATGAAATTGTGGCTCAAATTGAAGCTCAAAACAAATTGGAGAAATCAGAGGTGAGTAAGCCCTTGGGATTCCATTCCAGTGGGGGTGAGTATGGTTTTGTTAGAGAAAGACAGCCAGCAGAGGGGATATATAGAGTTGTTACTTCACTTTGCCTTCCTACAGCTGTCTTTTTCTTCTTCCGTGGGGATGGGCGGGGTGTAATAGAAAAAGCACCAGATGAGGAAGGAGAAGCCCTGGATTGGAGTCCTGGCTCAGTCAAGGTATCTCAGAGTTGGAAAGGAATTCAGAGTCTGTCCAGTTCGACTTGTACTTGAAGAAGAATTCCTTATGCATCACAGCCCTAACCGTGGATATCCAGGGTTTGCTTGAAAACATCCATTGATGGGGCATGCTAAGCCTATCTCATAAGGCATTCCACACCATTTGGGAATGATTTGAATTATTCATTTTTTTCCCCCTTTGTCGAATCTGTCTCTGCAGTTTCCATCCCTCACTCCTAGTTCTGTGCTTGGAGCTTAAGTACATACTCTTCTCCATAATAGCCCTTCATGTACTCGAAGATAATCATCATGTGCCCCTGAAGTGTTCTCTTCCTCACCCTTGGAGGGTATGGTGTGGAATCCTTTCCGCCTCCTAGAGATGTGCAGGTTTTTCAGTGGCCTTCCTAGATGTGGCACACAGAATTAAATAGAGGACTCCCAGAGTGGTCTGACAGATTCAGGTGGGACTGTTGTCTCCCTTCTTCTCCACTGTCCCTCTTAAAGCCACCTAAGATTGCATTAGTTTTGTGTTGCTACTGAGCTTGTAGTTCAACAAAACCCTCAGATCTTTTTTATAGCAATTGTTTCATCACAGTTTCCACGTCCTAGATTAGTGAATCTGTTTTTTTGAACCAAGTTTACGACTTTATGTGTATCTATATTATTAAATTATTTTAAAATGTAAACTTTTTCTAATCATAAAAACAACTATCCTTTGAATCTAGTCATTCAGCCACTACCAAATACACTTAATTGTCATCTAGCCTGCATCTGTCTTGTCCAGAAAGATAGAATGTGAGATTATCAAATGTTTTGCTTAAAGTATTTCCCTATATAATAGCCTTGTCAAAAAAGGAAGTGCGGTTAATTTTGCATGACCTGTTCTTAATGAAGCCATGATGACTCTTAATAATCATCATTTCCCTATCTAAATGTTTGCAGATTTTCCTTTATGTCATTATGTTGTCAATCTGATTTTATCAGTTTGGTTACTGCTTTCATAGATGCAGATCATAACCGTCTATCAATTAAATAGACCATCTTCAAGAGTCTCTGTGGCTGAAAAATTAATCCCCTTGCAGCCAAATTGCTGATAAGCCTCTCTAAACCTAGCAAGGCCAATCCCTGGAAGTAACCTACATGTAGTCCATCACTGGGACTACAATTTAAGTCATTCCAGCTGCTAGAGCTTATGCCCTATTGGCATAATCTTCAAGAACCTAGCTTACATCAGCACCATAAGGTGTCAAAGTAAGTCCTTAATCCTGTGTTATAAAATTTTGCCAGGAATTGAAGTCAAGCTCACACCCTACAATTGTCTTTTTCTCTTCTTTGGAAAATGTAACAGTTGCTCTTAGTCCTATAGCACCTCTTCTGATCTCTGTGATTTATCAGAGATTGCCGAAAACAACTCAGCAGTCACATCCTCCATGTCTTTTAATATTGGCGTGTGATTCATCCAGATCTGGTGAAGGGGCAGACAGGTACGGAGGGAAGAACTCTGGCCTTGAGTCAGAGATACTAGGTTCACATCTTTTCTTGTGATGCCTGTTACCTGGATGATCTTAGGCAAGTCACTTGATCTCTTTGGTTTTCTCATGTATAGAATGAGGGGGTTGGACTAGATGGCCTCTGAGGCCCCTCTCAACTATAGATAGACTTAATGATTGATAGAGCATTTATTAAGTGCTTATGGTACTGTATGCCAGGCATCGCACTCAGTGTGGGGACACAAATACAGGCTTGCATTCTGTTTGAGGAAAACAACAACAAAATGGCCCTAGAAAGTGAAGGGGTTGGGGAGGTCTAGGTGAAATGGCATAGGAAGGTGAGGAGGAAACCTTAGGACTGACATTTCTCCAGGGTAGCAAAGTGGCAGGCAAGGAGTCTGCAGAGAAAATCTCGGCAAGAGTGCTGGGTTTTTGAACAGTTCTTATGGTTTTACTTACTGAAAGTAGCTAAGAATGCTCATGCGCGCGCTCTCTCTCTCTCTCTCTCTCTCTCTCTCTCTCTCTCTCTCTCTCTCTCTCTCTCTCTGTCTCTCTCTCTCTTTCTCTCTTCTCTCCACACTTGTCTTGGGTGAGGAGATAACTCCCAGTTAACCATTTTTACATGATTCTTTCTAATCTGAAGATCATTTTTCTTACTAGAGGAAAACAGAAGCAAAATTAGATTTAAATAGTTCTTCCTTCCCTGGGGAGCTGTTATCATCATTCTCCCCATTTCCCCAGTAGCCATCTTCCCTCCTTTAATAAATCATCTTCTTTTTGTTGTTGTTCAGTCATTTTTTTAGTTATGCCTGACTCTTTGTGACCCCATTTGGGGTTTTTCTGGCAAAGATACTGGAGTGGTTTGCCATTTCCTTCTCCAGGTCCTTTGACAGTTGAGGAAACCGAGGCAAACAGGGTTAAGTGGCTTACCCAGGATCACATAATAAGTGTCTGAGGCCAGATTTGAACTCAGAAAGATGAATCTTCATGACTTCAGACCCAGCACTATTCACTGTGCCACCTAGCTGCATTCTCTTGTCTCATAACATAGCTTTTAAAAAAAAGCTCTGTTTGTAGTTACTGACATTTATCCCCGTCAGATTTCAAATTATGTTAAAAAGCAGTAATCAAAACAATTTGATACTATCTCAGGAACGGAACAGTAGATCAGTGGAATAGATTGGGCACACAATATACAGAAATAAATGAGCATAGTCATCTGATGTTTGATAAACCAAAAGATCTAAGCTTTTGGGGCAGGAACTCATCATTTGACAAAAATTGCTGGGAAAACTGGAACGATTCTGGCAGAAATAAGGCATAGACCAACATCTCACACCATATACCAACATAAAGTAAAAATGGGCACATGATTTAGATATACAGGGTTATATAAGCATATCGGGGAGCGTGAAAAGTTTTACCTGTCAGATCTATGATAAAGAAAGATTTTGTGTCCAAACGAGATAGAGAGGATCATGGAAAGTAAAATGGATAATTTTGATTACACAAAATTAAAAAGGTTTTGCACAAACAAAACCAATGCAGCCAAAATTGGAACGAAAGCAGGAAACCGGGAAAAAAAGTTTACAGCAAGTTTCTTTAACAAAGGCCTCATTTCTTAAACACACAGGGAACTGGGCCAAATTTATAAAAATAAGAACCATTCCCCAATTGATAAATGGTCAGAGGATATGAACAGGCAGTTTTCAGAAGAAATCAAAGCTATCAGTAGTCATATGAAAAAAATGCTCTAAATCACTATTGATTAGAGAAATGCAAATCAAAATAACTCTGAGATACCACAACATACCTATCAGATTGCCTAATGTGACAAAACAGGAAAATGACAAATATTAGAGAAGATGTAGGAAAATTGGAACACTAATGCATTTTTGGTAGAGTTGTGAACTGATCCAACCATTCTGGAGAACAATTTGGAACTATGTCCAAAGAGCTATAAAAATGTGCATACCCTTTAACCCAGCAATATCCCAAAGAGATCATAAAAAAGGGAAAAGGACCCACATATACAAAAATATTAATACCAGCTCTTTTTGTGGTAGCAAAGAATTGGAAATTGAGGGAATGCCCATCAATTGGGGCATCACTGAACAAGTTATGGTATATGAATGTAATGGAATATTATTGTTCTATAAGAAATGATAAGCAGGCGGATTTCAGAAAAACCTGGAAAGACTTTTATGGGCTGATGCTGAGTGAAGTGAGCAGAACCAAGAGAACATTGTACGTAGTAACAGCAACATTGTACGATGATCAACTATGATGAACTTAGCTCTTCTCAACAACCCAATGATCCAGGACAGTTCCAAGGGACTTATGATGGAAAATGCTGACCACAGCTAGAGAAAAAAAACCGTGGAGTCTGAATGCAGGTGGAAGCATACTATTTTTACTTTTTTTGTTTTTTGTTTCTTTTCTTTCTTGTGGTTTTCCCTTTTGTTCTGAGTCTTTCACAACATGACTGATGTAGAAATATGTTTAATATGATTGTACATGTATAATCTATATCAGTGTTTACCGTCTTTGGGAAGGGAGGGAGAAAAATTTAGAGCTCAAAATCTTACAAAGGTGAATGTTGAAAGCTATCTTCACATGTAATTGGAAAAAATAAAATACTATTAAAAGAATGATGAGGGAAATAGTTTCAGAAAAACGTGGAAAGACATACGAACTGATGCAACATGAAGTGAGAAGAACCAGGAGAACGCTGTACACAATAATAGCAATAGTTTAATGATGAAGACAATGATTCATGACAAAGGACTCATGGTGAAAAATACCATCTACCTTCAGAGAAAGAAATGATGAACTCTGAGTACAGATTGAAGCATATTGTTTTCACTTTCTTTTCTTTCTTTTGCCTTTTTTTGTGGAAATATGTTTTACATGACTTCGTGTGTGTAATGAGTACGTTGCTTACCTTTTCAGTGGGTGGGGGAGGGATTAGAGGGAGAGAATTTGGAACTCAGAAAAATATTTGGAGAGAAGATTACTCCTCAAGACAAAAAAGACATAAAAAAATTTCATCCCCACCCTCTGCTCATTTTGAAAAAGCTTCAGTGCTCCTGCTCCTTTACAACACTACCATTCCTTTCCTTATTGAATATAAGCTTCTTGAGAGCTCAGATGTCTGTGTGTGTGTGTGTGTGTGTGTGGTGTGTGTGTGTGTGTGTGTGTGTGTGTGTGTATCCAGCACCTGATTCTATGCCTGCTATATAGGAAGCACTAAATAAATGCTTGTTAATTGGTTGCTTTTGTATTCTCATTTGTTAACCCTTGCTTCCATCCGTCTATAATAATCAGTAATAGTAAATTTTCTATTCATTCACATCAGTCTCTTTAGACAACTCCTTCTTTTTCTTCCACATCAAGATTGTATGCTTTGCCTTCAGAATTCAGTTCTAAGAATAATCTCTCTCTCTTGGGTCAGCTTTCCCTGTAGAAAATTTGGCTGTGACATCCTACTCTGAGAAGTCATCTTTCAGTATATCTAGGGTACATGTCAGACCCATCTTCCCTCTCCTTTTCTATCATAGCTTTTAATACAAAATAGTAACTTCCTCTCAAGGTTATCATTTCTACTTTAGCAACAAGTTCCTTCATATTTTTCAGAATCAGGTCCAGAATAGTAGTTTCGTTTGTCACTCTCCCTACTTTTTGAACAATTAAATTATCATTAAGGCAAGACAAGAATTATCAGCTGCTTTGCTTTTGGAACAGGGTTCCAGCAAATATGTGGGTATCTGAAGTTCCACATTACTGCTATACCACGTCTCCGTGCCAGGTTTGTTATCTGTTTCCCAAATTCCTTGTCTATTTTCTCCTGGCTATGTGGTCCTATCACAGTATAACTCCATATTAAAGAATCATTCTTGCTAACATTATTTACTTTTCTAATTCCTGGATTTCCTTACATGAAGATATGTTTATAATTTCTAGTGTCACTCTGCACTTCTTTTATGTGTTCTGTTCCTTTTGAATAAAGTATATATCATTGGATGTCACTATATCCATCTTATCCCACCAATTCTCCATGATTCCTATCACTGAAAGGCCCAAATTATTTTTCACATATATTTTTTTATTAATTTATTTTTAATTTTCAACACTTCCATAAGCTTTTGAGTTTTACATTTTTCTTCCATTCCCTCCCCTCCTCCTTCCCCAAGACAGCTTACAATCAGTGGCTCTACATATACATTCCTATTAAACATATTTTCACATTAGTCATGTTGTAAGGAAGAATTAGAACCAGTAAGAAGAACCACAAGAAAGAGGAAACAAAACAAAACAGAAGAAAAAAAAGGGGGCTGATAGTATGCTTCGATCTGCATTCAACCTCCATAGTTCTTTCTCTGGATGTGGATAGCATTTTCTATCATGAGACTTTTGGAGATGTCTTAGATCCTTGCATTGCTGAGAAGAGCTAAGTCTGTCGAAGTTAATCATTGCACAACATGGCTGTTGCTGTGTACAACATCTCCTGGTTCTGCTCACTTCACTAAGCATCAGTTTGTAAGTCTTTCCAGGTTTTTCTGAAATCTACCTATTCATCGTTTCTTACAGCACAATAGTAATCCATTACATTTATATACCACAACTTGCTCAGCCATTCCCCAATCCATGGGCATCCCCTCAATTTCCAATTCTTTGCCACCACATAAAGAGCTGCTATAAATATTTTTGTACATGTGGGTCTTTTTCCCATTTTTATGATTTCTTTGGATACAGCCCTAGAAGTGCTATTGCTGGGTCAAAGGTTATGTGAAAGGCCTAACTTTGCCCTCTTCATTAAGATGCCTAGTTAATTTTGCTTATTAGCTTACTTTGTACATGTTTATCTAGACACTAGGGCAATTCCCTAGCTTTGTGACAAAAATTTATTTCCAAAGTCAGTCTCCCTGGGCCTCAGTTTCCTAATTTATAAAATGGATAACTTCTCTTTCTCGTAAAGTTTTTTTGGGGCTTTATGGGGTATAATTTATACAACGCACCCTGTAGTCATAAAACAGTATACAAACATGGGTAGTAGTTATTCCAGTTAAGCTACTTATTTGTTGTTTTTCAGTCATTCCTACATGTCCATGAGGCTGGTTCTTCATAACCCTGTGGACCATAGCACACCAATTCTGTCCATGAGGTTTTCTTGGCAAAGATATTGGAGTGGTTTGCCATTTCCTTCTCCAGTGGATTAAGATCAACAGAGGTTAAGTGACTTGCCCAGGGTCACACAACTAAGAAGTGTCTGAGGTCAGATTTGAACTCAGGTGTTGCCAACTCCAGACCCACTAAGTCATCTAGCTGCCTCTTAAGCTACTTATACCAGCAGCCAAACCTAAAAAGCAAACAGATAGGAAGGAAATTGGAAGTGGCAGGCTTTTCATGCTTGTAGTATTGGTGGGAAAGCCAATTAGTATGTCAAGGAGAGAAGCCACCCCTGACTGTTGGTGTTTTAGTCCATGCTTTGGTTACTTGCGTAACTATGCCATACCGTAGGCCTTCTGGAGGAGCCCTGGATTAACCTAGATTCTGGTGAAAATTTCTGCTTTGTATGTCTTCTGCCTTTAATGGAGCATACACTTAGAGTTAAAACAATTCCATTTCAGGGAAAAGTATCCCCCCTCTGATGGATGGATGAATGAACAAGCATTTATCAAGTGATAATTGTGCAAATCATTGTCCTAAGAGCTGGGGACACATGGAAAAGTAAGAGAATTCTCAATCTCAAAGAGCCTGAGCACACGTAGTAGGCTTCAGCTTTGAGTCCAGTGAGAGGCTAGGTATTCCTTGGAGTACAGCAGCAAGGCAGATGGTGATGCCTTTTTTTAGTTTCAGTGCCATGTTCATTGATAAAATCATAATTAAATCTCATGTTGATGTATTTGACTGTGCTAAGACCTTTGGTGGCAAGAACTTTTCTGGCTCTTTAGCAGCTGTAGCTCCTAAAAAGGCAAGAGGACCATTGACATCTCCATAGGAAGGACTGGAAGCAGGGTGGATTGTCTGGAGGACACTTGGGCTCATCTGACCTGTGGTGGTAGTTGGCATTGGTTCTTTTGAGATGGTGAGATTTTTCCAGTGGGATCTCACCCTTGAATAATGGTTGTGGAAGTAGGCTGGAAGCAGGGCTGGCGGCTTGAGGGGAGCTGATTTTTTATTCCTGGGGCTATATGGTGGTGTGGGTTGCTTCCACTAGGAACTAAAGGAAGATGTGGTCAAGATCAGGGCACTGGTTTGATCTGCCTGGCATGTGCTGCCTTCTGGATAGTTTGCTACTTCAGCTGCCTTGCTAGATGACATTGAAAAAATCAGAGTTGCTTCTTTCTCTGTTTCCTATCTTTTGTAAGAACCTAGATTTGGGTTAATGTTGATGTTTGAATCTAACATACTAAATTTCCCCTTGAATTCTCCCAGTTTCCTGAAGCAATTAAATTACTCTATTTGGCTAAGCTACAAGAAATTCTCTCTTCCATGAAGCCTGGAAGTTTATGATGTGGAACTCTTTCTATACTACTGCCATAGTGGCAGTTGTGGTTGTTTTAAGAGTATTGGTTGGCAGGCTGCTAGAAATAGCGAATGAATCAGGATCAAGTGGTTTTATAGCTGATGGAAAAATAGACTTTCTGGGTGAGGGTAGGTTCTATGTTAACATACAGGAAATGAATAGTCAGAAAAAAGAGATCTTGAGAAACATCCCTGACAACCTCTGTCCCTGTCCTAATCTCCCCTCTCTTCCCCTCCTCCCCATGCCTATTGTAGATGATGGGGAGTTTTTGGCCACCAGCTGCCTTCATCTGCTTTTCATTACAAGTCCTGCCAGTTGTACTGCACTTTAGGGCTCTCCAACTTCACATGCGTGTCATCGGTTCCCGCAATATATCCATGTGAAGTTTCCAACAGCCAACTCTTTCTTGTCCCTTGCAATCCCATTGGCAAATGACTGAAAATAAAGCAATAGTTTCATTTCCCTTCCAAAAAAGGTTTCTCTGTGACTGTTAGTTTTCTATGAAAGTCTAGTTGCTGATATCTGGCCTAGAAGAAAGTATGTGATCTTTCTCCAAATGTAATAACACATCTGCCTGGCCTTAAGGCATGGAGAAACCATATCCAATGAAGTGCAGAATTTAGTTCCTTACACTGGACTTTGAGATTATTATATGAAGAATTGCTTGTTATACTTGAAGAGTGAGATGGAGAAAATCAGAACTGGGAAGTACCATGGTGCTGTGGGAAGCTTTGGATCTGAAATCAAAAGACTTGGGTTTGAATCTGGACTCTGGTATTTAATACTCACATGACTTAGGCCAATTTAGCCTCTTTGCTCCTCAGTTTCATCATCGATCCTTGGACCTTTATTTGTTTAGCATTGACCATGAGCATTCGTTTGTCTTCTGTTTTTTAACATTAAACAAGAACTCAAGAGTCTATGATGATGTAGTCCTTTTGTCTTATGTTTGTATCTCTTTTCTCTACTAGGGCGGCCTTTCAGCAGCCCCTGCTCGGGCTGTATCTGCAGTGAAGAACATTAATCTCCCTGAGATTCCTCGGAACATCAATATTGGGGATATCAACATCAAAGTTCCCAACCTCTCTCAGTTTGTCTGAGGACTGAAGTAGCGTTAGACAGATCAAGCAAAAAGGAATCTCTTCGAAAACCCAAGGCCAGGCTGATCGTGGATCTGAGCAGAATTTGAGTCTTAGTGGCGTTACAACCTAAGGCCTGGTCTCTTTTTGTTTGGGCAGACTCATGGATGTGGGGTTAGGGAAAAGTCAATGTCATATCATGATTTCTGTGCACATGTCCAGCATGAAGTTCTTCATTGCCTATGGGTACAACATTCATGTAGGGGATGCATATCCCACTTAAGCAAATCAGCTAGCATTCTCAAATGCATTTTCTTCTGCATGCTGAATCTCCCTGAGGGTGGTGGTTGTTTGAGGTGGTCCCCACAGATTCTAGTGGGGCAGATATCTAGAGAGTCATTATTCTCAGTGCCACAAGATTCTTGTGGTGATTATACTTTTTGCTAGGTGCCAAGGATCAGCTCTTTAGATTCAGATTCAGGAAAGCTGGCTTTCCTCTGAAGTCTATCAGAAAATGATAGGTGTGGGGGGCTAATTTTCATAAAAATCTGAATCACCTGCTAGCTGGATTAAGGTGATTGTAGCCAGTATTCTTCTGTCTGACCATGCCTTTTTATAGAAATAACATTTCTTTCCCCAAGAAAATATCTTCTCATCTGTCAAGAATCCAAGATCTGTTTTCTCTGGTGTTTTATGAGAAATCCATAGTCAGAAACATGACAGCAGCTGCTTATCCATGGATTGACAATGGGTCTTCAACCACCCAACTTCTCAACAGATGATAGATCTAATAAGCTCCCTATCTAAGTAATAGCCCTGGCTGAAGGAGTACTTTTGGGTCTTGGGAGACTTACTTTTGTAGCAGTTAATGTGAGATGATATTTGGATTATTTTAGGCTTCTAGTTCTATTGTGGTCTTTTGTGAGAAATCTTCCCTTGGCTTGCCTTCAGTTGGCAGTTCTAAGTTCAGTACTGAATGTTGCTTCTGCTTCTTCTATATCACAAACCCATTGCAATTTCCATATAAAAGGCTAGGACAGGGATCTGGTAAGAGTAAAGGAGCCCTGTGTTTATGGGTCAGGGTGAGAAATGGAGATATGCAAGGACTGTAATGAGGAATGTCAGCTTGATCTTTGGTTGAGGATAACGTGTTCATACGTTTAAAGCGTTCCAAGATAGGGTGCGTCCCTCTCCTCTGTGGTAATAAATACTCCTCCATGACTTGCATATCTTTTTTTATGATAAATTTGTAGCTAGACTGCACTTAGGAATATTCAATTCCTGTCCTCCCCACCTGCCTTTCCACTGGACCTGATCAGAGGCTGCAAAACACAGCACACTGTGTTACCTGTGTGATCACATGCTTCCTTTAATTGTAGTAATAAATTTTTCAACCTAAGTGGAACCTCTGTTTTGTATAAAACTGTGTGTGCTGTCCTCTTTCCCTCTGAGGGAGGGTGTGGGGAACTGAGCTGTTATTTTGTTTTTTAAGCTTCCTGAGAAGGTAAGTTTACTCTACTTGTAGAACTATGGTTGAAGAATATTTTTGTCCATATTTGAATTCTGCAACTCATGACTCTTGGTCTTTTCACCCCACCACATTTTTCTTTGAAAGAAAATCACTGTCATATCGCATTGACTTTCCCTAACCCCTCCCCAGAGCTCTCCCTAATAATAAATAGATATAATTGTGCAAAACGAATCAATACGTTGGCTGTGTCTGAAAAATGTGTGCTTCATTTCATATCTGCTGTGTGCCAGTATGCCTACCTGGGCTAAACTTTGACTCCAGACCTGGAAGTAAATTAGGTTCCTGTAGAGCAGGTTCTCTTTGATAACTTAGTCCTCCTTAGACGACAAATTGAAGTTAACAGAGACATTTACTTTATTGGGTGCTACTAATATATAGATTTAAAGTTGAAAAGGACTTCAGATGCCATCTGGTTCAGTCCACTCATTTCACAATTGAGGAAACTGAAGTCTCTGAGAATATACAGGTAGTGATGTCAGAATCAGGATTTGATTGAACTCAGTTCACCTGAATTGGACTGGAAAATCAGTGCTCTTTCCAAAAGCCCAAGGTATTATTTTAAAATGACCTCTTTTATCTGTCAGAGAATGTAGCAAATCTGCTTGATATAAAGATAGGTGACACCTTTTGACATACATTATGTCACAGGGAAATTTCTTGTTGCCTTATATGTATTTTAAATGCTAAATTTTAAAATGTAAGCAGAAATAATGAGTGATGTGAATTTTGATATAGATTATGCAATACTCACATTAGGAGCAATATGGAGTATGAGGAGTAATAGGAGTAGGAGTAAGTGTTATGTGTTTGAAGACAGAGGTGGAGAAATAGTTAAGGACAGTTAGAGGTCACTAGTTGGCTTGTTCCCCCAAGCCACGTGAAGTCTTAATTTATGTTCCATATTTGTGGCAGGGCATAATGGGACATATTCATATATGTTCAGTCATACAATGAAGTTCAGTCATTATATAATAGCTCAGTGAAGCTAACTGTTCTGTCATTTGTATGCTGGGTGTCATTTGGTAAATGTTATTATCTGTAATCCTTTTTAGTCAAGGGTTTTGTACTTTGTAAATGCATCATGTACTTAAATTCTCAATATTCCACCAAATCTTTGTTAGGTATGTGCAGAGTTAACTTTTAAGTATCAGGGGGGGAAAAAAACTTTACTCCAGTAAAGAATGTGAACTCTTTTGGTTGCAATTAGTATAAGGCTTGAGAATGAATGAATGAAAGGAAGAAGGAAAAAGCATTTATTAAGTGCTTACTGTATGCTGGGCATTGTGCTAAGCATTGGGGATACAAATACAAGTAAGCACACCAGTTCCTCTCTTCAACAGCTTACATTTGAACATTGGAAGACAGCTTAAATAGGGGAGTGTTTTGGGCAGGGAAGTCAAATGGAATCATAAGGAACTGATTGATATGTTCTTTCTGGGAATACTAATGTTGATATGATTACTGTTTTGAGAGCTGGAGTTAGAAAGGGGGTATAGATACAGCAACATGGCATGAAGATGGTTAGGAAGCTAATAGGTCTCGGCAAGACAATTTTAGTCGTTGAATCTCACCAATCAAAAGTGCATAGTCTCCTGGTGGGAGCTTGAGTTAGGTTGGAGGTAGAGGTTGGAATGTAGGAGCTGGCACTGTGGAGATAACTAAGATTCTGTGGACCTTCATTTGTGCTGATTCACTTTTGTTAGACTGTAGACTAAGATTTAATCATGAATTTCCTGTAGCTCCTGTAATTTGTTGGAGATAACAAAAAGAACATTGAACAGATAAGTGTTTTTGCTTAACAGACATATCAGGAATTTCCTCTAAGTCATAACATAATATACAGTATCTCAAACTGTCATCAGTTATGCAATATGTTTTACATTAAAACTGTTGAAGAACTGTTTATATCAAAACCACCAGGAACTTGGAATAAATATGATGAAGAATTGGAAACCGATTTGGTGCCCATAAAAAGGGGAATGGCTGAACAAGTTATGGCATATGAATGTGATGGAATATAAGAAATGATTAAATCATTGGTTTCAGAAAAACCCGGGAAGACCTGTATGAATGCGTGCAAAGTGAAGTGAATGGAACCAGGGAAACAATTTATACAGTAACAATATTGTAAAAACAAACAACTTAAAAAGACTTGGTAACTCTGATTAACACAATAACTAGTCACAATCCCAGATCCCAGAGGACTCAGATGAAACAGGCTGCCACCTCCAGAGAGAGAAGTGATGGACTCAAAATGCAGATTCTCTCTCTCTCTCTCTCTCTCTCTCTCTCTCTCTCTCTCTCTCTCTCTCTCTCTCTCTCTCTCTCTCTCTCTCTCTGTGTCTCTCTCTTTGTGTGTGTGTTTCTCTCTCCTTCCACCCTCATAATTAAATGTAAGGGAGAGAAAGAAAGGCTTTCTTTACCATTAGATTTGGTTTAATGAAAAATTTTGTCAAGGTGATGGATCAAAATAATATATGTTTTCTTTACCTGAACAATGAACAGACTAAAATCGAAGAGGAGATATTATTGATTCCTTTGCAAGGCAAATGATGAAAGATGAACATTTTGAAGAAGAGTTGTATGAAGTTAAAGAAGTTTCATAAAATTGTTTTTACAATCAACAACATGTTATTAATAAAGGCAAACTTTACATCCCTGCAAGGGAAGGTGACACTTGTAACTTGAGAATTGTGTCATTATAACATTTAAAAGGAGTATACATAGACAAAGGGCATTGGTATAAGTTGACTTTGATGTGATGTTAAAAGATCTAAGGGGTGAAAAGGGATTGTTCTTAGAGAAGAGGAAAGGAGAGGCAGACAAGGGTAAATTATATCACATGAAAAGGCACAAAAACCTGTTACAGTAGAGGGAAAGAAGAGAGGGAGATAAGCATTGTTTGAACCTTACTCTTATCAGATTTGGCTCAAAGAGGGAATAACATAATTTCTATTAGATATAGACATCTAACTTACTCTATAGGAAGTAGGAGGGGAAAGGGGAAAGAAAAGAGAGGGCAGACTGAGGCAGGTGGTGGTAAAAAGCAAAACTAGTGAGGAGGGAAAGGAAGAAAGGAGAGAGAAAAGCATAAATGGGGGAAAATAGGAGAGAAAAACATAGATAGTAATCATAATTGTGAATGTGAATAGGATGAACTTTCCCACAAAATAAAAGTGGATAGCAGAGTGGGTTAAGAACCATAATCCTACAATATGTTGTTTAAAAACCTGGAAAGACTTATACAAACTGATGCTAAGTGAAATGAGCCGAACCAGAAGAACATTGTGCACAGTAACAGCCACATTGTATGATGACTGACTCTGATAGACTTGGCTCTTCTCAGCAATGCAAGGATCTGAGACAACTGCAAAAGATTCATGATGGAAAATACTATCCACATCCAGAGAAAGAACTTTGGAGTCTGGATGCAAATGGAAGCATGCTGTTTTCTCCTTTTCTTTTGTTGTTTCATTTTGTTTCTTCTTTCTCATGGTTCTTCCCATTAATTCTGATTCTTTACATCATGATGACTAATGTGAAAATATGTTTAATATGAATGTATAAGTAGAGCCTATATCAGATTGCACGCCGTCTTGGGGAGGGGGGAGGAGAGGGAGGGAGAGAAAATTTAAAACGCAAAATCTTATGGAAGTGAATGTTGGAAACCAAAAATAAATTAATTATTTTTAAAAATTGTTTTTATAAGTCACAACCTAACAATTACTGAAAATTTGTCAAAGATCTTTCCAAAGCCTGTAAACTTAAGTGATGTCACATATTTCTCAAGATCTGTTTTTTAGATTCACACTTGAACTTCTTCCTGGAAAAACTAGATATTCTCAGTGTTGGTCATGAAGAACACTTCCAATAAGAATAATCCCAAATGGAAAAGCAGTGTCAGAAAAGTGGAAAACAAGTATGCCTACTGGCTACTGTTGACTTTAAAGAGGGATTTTGCCATGGACCAAATTCAACAGGAAATCAGTACCTTCATTTTAGAACAGTTAAACAGATGTAATTTTTGGTAGTAAAAAATGATTTCCAAAAATATAAAACTGATTCTCACAGAGATGGAAGATAATAATAATAGCTAACAGATATATGGCGCTTGTTAGATGCCAGGTGCTATGCTAAGTGCTTTAAAAAACATTGCATTTGATCCTCACAACCCTAAGAATTAGGTGCTGTTATTCTCATTTTACTGATGAGAAAACTAAGGCAAACAGAGGTTAAGTGACTTACCCAGGATCACACAACTAGGAGGTGTTTGAAGCCAAATGTGAACTCGAGTCTTACTGATTCCAAGCCCAGCACTCTATGCGTTCTAAATTTATAATAGTAATATACAGATATATTCCTCAGATGAAGTAAAGAGCATCCACATACAATTTCAGTGCATTCTAGTACATTAGGAAGCCAGTGCACTTCCTGGTATATGAGATTGCTGGGTTTTTTTTTTCCTTGGTAGTGGTGGTTTTTATTGATGGTGTTTTTTGTTTCTTTTTAACCAGAACAATAAAATTGAAGGTTTCTACCCAGCCTCTTTATTTGGACATCTGATATTAGATGTTATATTCCAGTCCCTGATCCCATTCCAAAGGTACTAGAGTTTGCCCCTCCCCTCCCTGTGAGCTCTTGTCTTAAATAACCTTAGACCTCACATGGAAAATTTTGCAGCTGTCAAAGAGAGTCATGATTATTAGTGAAATGATTATCTAACTGAAACCAGATAGCAAACAACTATTTCCAAGGTACCTTTGTATAGCTGCACCAGATGATAAAAATGGTATTTTCAGGGTTATGCCTTCTCCCCCGTCCCCCAGCCCCCACCTCGAAGCAAGAGTTTCCCTGGGTGGCCACACAATAAGCTACACCTTTTTCTATGTTACCTGTTGCTATTACCTGCTGGATTCAACAGGGGTGGAGAAGTACCCAGCTTTTTCCTCTTCAAGTCAGACTTCTAAGATTCAGTCTTGACTCCTTTTTACTTCTGCTTGTCCATACTTCCTATTGCAGCATAGCACACATAATTATTTTTAAGTACCTATCTAAAGTATTTGAACTATTGCTGTGTGGAGAAATCTCAAGGTTCAAGCTCTATAGAGATTTATGTAAATCAGATACAGTTTAATGTTTCTAGCTTGAGTAGATCTGAAGCTCATTTAAAG